TTGGTCAAATTTTGATAACATTATCAGGGATGAGTTTAGACGGCAGCACCATGACAAAATGCCACGGTGCTTGTATTTAATGCTGAAGTGCCCTTAAAAAAAAAAAAAAAACTCATGCATGGCAATCTTTGCCTTCAACTTTAAGAAAAAAATTTTTTTTTTTTAAATTTTCTTAATAAGGTGGTTATAGGGATTTTCCAAGATAAAATTTGACTAGAGCCCTAAGCAGATATATTCTTAAAGAAAAGAGGTAGATGAAAGGAATTTCAACAAATGTTACAAGTTTAAAGGAGCACAGACATTATTTTGGGGCCATCATATATATATATATATATATGTACAAATATATGTTCATGTATGTATATTCTTATTCTACCCATTCCTATATATATATATATAAGCAGGGATACCCAGCATTGCTCAGAAGATCTCTGAATAATAGTTTATTATTGACAATTTATTGATATTTTTCAGTCATTTATAGAAAATAATTTTTTATTCAATCTTTAAAAAATAAATTTCATTGTTTTTTTTTTTTGGTTTGTTATAAAATAACTAAATTTAAGAAAATACCACACTACCAATATCATGCTCGAGAGGTAGGGATCTTAAGGTTCTGAGTTTCCCCATATTTTTATTCAAAAACACACTTTAATTTAAATAGAATGTAGTTAAATTCATAAAACAAATATTCAATATGACTAATGTTAACCATAAGTCATGTCTGTCTCTCCTAATTTTTATTTAACTAAAGTTGTTTTTTTCTTTTCAAATACAAATATAACTTGAAATTTAAGCATAATCAATTTTCAAAACAAAATTCCCAATGTATTTTGCTTGTACTCTCTTTCGAAATAGTAAATAAATTCATTTATGGAGAAATGTTTGCTTCTTTAATATCATGTTTAAAAGTAAAACTAAATTCCCCTCCAAAATAAATAGTAAATAAATATTTTTTGAAGAAGTAAGGCTCACTATAGTTTTTGCTTTAAAAAATGATTAAATTAAATATGTTTAAATATATCTTAATTTAAGTTTATTTACTTTATTTAAATGTTTTTAAGTAAAGTAATTTTTTCCTATATATATATATATATATATATATATATATTATAAGCCCTATGTCAGGAAAGTTTAAACAATATGTGTCTACAAAACAGTTAGATGGAGTAAATGTGCATTTATAAATACATGTACATGAATATACAGAATAAACCTTGACTCTAAAATTTACTTTTACAGTCAGTTTTGCTGGTGTATACAAACACAAAGTTTTGTTGATATGAGAAAAAATGCTTTGGAGTCACTCCGAGACAAGGACAACTTTTAACCAAAAGCATAAAATAACTTATTGGCATGCTGAAAATACCTTGAGGATAGAAAGGAGTGCTTGCTAATCTAACTTTTGCTGGATTGATTTCAGGAATGGATAATTTTAACTGAGCTAATTACATAGATCTTTGATTTTCATCTTTTTCTACTGCCATTATTATGAGAAAATTAGGAACAGGTTTACATATTTATACAAATGATAACAAAAACAAAATTCATAATTCTATCCTCCAAAAGTATTGATAAAATTTGAAAACAAACTAGTTACCCTCAACACAAAGATCTTTACTATCATTTTCAAGACAGTTAGAGATAGAGTTAGAAAGAAAAATAGATTCAATGCCACATCAAATGCTGAACATCTAAACAGAGACAAGCAGCTATTTTTTATTCTAATAATAATTTCCATGTTATTTAAGAAAAAGAAAAGTTTTATTGCTCATATCACTTTTTTTAGAACTTAAAAATTTAACACCTGGTTTTAAGAAATCTGGAATTTTGCTTTGCAACAAAGGACATAAAAGCCTATTCACATTGGCATAAATTCTTTTAGAATCGGATAATGGACAGTTGACCATTTATATTCATAATAGCTTTCTCTATTGCATATCAAGTTCCAATATTTCAAACTCATAAATATCTTGTTCATTCAATGAATATCTCAAAACAATTCTGATGCAGTAGTGAATGAAAGAAAAATGCTTTTTGGACTGTGTGTGAAGTAACCAGAACATAATTGTCTGGCAAAGATGTTGCCAATTTTTTTTTTCCTTTTCTTTATTTCTCCATTTTACAAAACTGTCTTTAAAAAAACTAAATAGTAAAAGAATTAAATATGAAAATAAGATATAATAATTTTATTTAAATAATATAAGAGCTCATTTTTGTTTGTTTTTCAAAGAGTTTTTGTAGGTAGTAATTGATGTGGCGCCAACACCATTTTTAGCATCCTGTCCTGCATCTTTTAAACATTTGACTTACCACCAAAGTAAAGAAATAAAAATTTATTTTGCAGCAAACTGATGATGTCACTATTCGCGCAGTCTGCAAAATTTAATGCATTTGGATTCATAGTTTATTTGATTGAGTCTGTGATGTTTTATTTAAAGAGGTTTTTAAACAATTTGAGATACATTTTTTGAACTAAATAAAACAAAGATTTAAGGTAAAAAGTGATAATGGGGATTACAAAGGTATGACAGCTCAAAAAAACTTACTCTGATCATATTGATAAGAACAGAACTCCCAAATTTGTTGGTGAGATCCAGACCATGATTGACAATGATCCCTTTGAGCAAATCAGGTCAATAGCCAAGAAACCAAGAGTGTCTGAGTTTCTTATCAGGAAGGTTGTGTATGAAGACATTCAGTATTTCTCATACAAGATGAGAAAGTGCCAAATTTTATCACAGGCCATGAAGGACAAGATGAAAGATTGTACTACAAAGCTTTTGAACAAACTCAAGCGTCCCTTCCAACTGAATATGTTTTTTTTTTCAGTCGAGAAAGATTTCTGCCAGGATAAGATGATGAACACATAGAACTTGGCTTGCTGTGTCCCCAAAAGATGTACCAAAAGTAATGAAAACAAAATATCCAGTCAACATCAGGGTGTTTGGAGTGATAACTAGTTATTGTGAGGTTATGCCTCTGTTCATCTTCCCACAGGACATCAGACTCATTATGGAAGCCTACATCAAATGCCTTCAGGAGGTAGTGCTGCCCTAGTTCAAGAGGGTGGCTGCTGGAAGACCCTATGTCTAACAAGACTTTGCACCATGCCACACAAGTAGAAGTACTCAATCATGGCTGTCAAACAATTTCTGTGACCACATCACCTCTTACATTTGGCCACCAGACTGCAACCTCCTTGATTATTATGTGTAAAGCACAGTTGAGCAAGAGACCAGCAAAACTCCTTGTAATACCAAAGATGAACTGAAGGCAAAGATTGTGGCAGTATTCACCAACTTAAAGAGAGATACCATCCAGAAGAGTTGCAGGAGATTCTGAAGTTGTCTGGAGGCCGTGGTTGAAGCCAATGGCTATTTTATTGAATAAATTTACTCTTTAGAAATTTTGGTAAGTATATCTGTTAAAATGAGACATCAGTGTTATTTTCATTTTTGCATAATTTAGATGACAATTTATCTATCACACCCTGTGTATTAGTTGTGTATTTGGGCAACAATCTCTCTCTAATACAGGTTTCATAAAAAATGACAAGGTACTACCATTAAGTTTTTTTTTTGTTTTGTTTTTCTTGTTTACAAAAAAATTCTTTTTATGGATATAGTGTATAGAAAAATTGTCAAAATGATTGTTCATTCACAGTGCTTTCAGCTAATTATTTAGCCATTTTCAAGGATTTTAGTTGTTTAATGGTATATTGCCACCTTATGGGTCATTTAATGTCAAAATTTAATTTTTAAGGGAGCATCTGTAATTTCTTTTAAAAAATGTATTGCTGATAATATTGTTTTCCTTACAAATATTGCTGGCAGTTTTTAATATAAAATGTTTATACTTTCATCATGTTTTTAACCCAGTTTAGGGGTTAACTATTTGCCCAAATTTGGGACCCTAACAGGTGCTACCACCCTGTGTTAGAGTGGACCTGGGAACAACAGCAGTTAAGACCTCAATCAAAGGCCTCGCTGCCAGATGTAGTTTATTGTCAAGATATTTCTGAACATGTTCAGTATACTATGGCTGTGCTCATAATTGATGTAATTAATGGCTGGGTTTTTGATATTTTTTTATGATGAGAGCTTCTATTTTTTAAAATTTCCTACAGTTAGAAGCATGCATAATGCTTGTTTTTAAAATTAGCAAAACCAACATGAGATCATACCTACTATTCAGGTTGGCATTTTTTCCTATGATTTAATGGTAGATAAATGTATTGAGAGTTGTTGAGGATGTTTGTAAAATTCAAGAAGTGCAAAGAAATGAAACAATATCTGGCCATATTGCCTTAAACTGATTTAAGCATTTTAAGGATGGTAACTTATTGCTGATGATTGTCAATTGCTAATTATATTTTAAAATTCAAGATAAAAGACAAATTGACACTCAGCACTTGAAAACTTTCAGAAAAACAAGGATCATCAAAAAATACAATTTGTAGAATATTCTTCTTCTATGTGCCGTGTCCCTCCAGGATGTGAGGGATCATTGCTCACCAGTTTCCAATCTCTTGTGTCCCTTAGCAGTATTTCTGTCAACCCCCCCACCCCATTTCCACTATCCATCCACACAAGCTTTTCAGGTAGGTGGCATGCTGCCTTCCTCACTCTTTCAATTGATAAACATGAACTGATGATTCATGGAACCAATTCCCAAAAGGATGCTTCCATGATCACTGCAATTTTAACCTGTTCAAGCGTTATCTTCTCCGCATAAACCCTGGGCCTCTTAATCTGTAACCTTCTACCTCTAGTGGCTCTTGGGCATTGTACAGGAGTGAATATTATTATAAAAAAACATACTCTTTAAAAGGTCACGTTCTCTATTCCTCTTTTCTCATTATGTGTCCAAAGGACCTCAGCTGTTGCTTTGAAATCCATTGTGGAGTCAAAAGAACAAAAATACTTTTATTATACATGAATAATCAACCCATAATCAATGGACTCTACCATGATTGATGCATTACTAAGAATACTAGATTAATATTGAAAGAAAGAGAGGTGAGAGAGAGAGAGAGGTGAGAGAGAGAAAGAGAGGTGAGAGAGAGAAAGAGAGGTGAGAGAGAGAGAGAGGTGAGAGAGAGAGAGAGAGGTGAGAGAGAGAGAGAGAGAGAGAGAGAGAGAGGAGAGAGAGAGAGAGGTGAGAGAGAGAGAGGGAGAGAGAGAGAGAGAGAGGGAGAGAAAGAGAGGGAGAGGGGGAGAGAAAGAGAGGTGAGGGAGAGAAAGAGAGGTGAGGGAGAGAAAGAGAGGTGAGGGAGGGAGAGAGAGGGGAGAGAGAGAAGAGAGGTGAGGGAGGAGAGAGAGGGAGAGAAAGAGAGGGAGAGAAAGAGGAGAGAGAGGGAGAGAAAGAGAGAGAGGAGGGGTGATGGAGAGAGAGGGAGAGAGGGTGATGGAGAGAGAGGGAGAGAGAGAGAGGTGAAAGAGAGGTGAAAGAGAGGTGAGAGAGAGAGGTGAGAGAGAGAACGAAAGAGGTGAGAGAGAGAACGAAAGAGGTGAGAGAGAGAACGAAAGAGGTGAGAGAGAGAAAGAAAGAGGTGAGAGAGAGAAAGAAAGAGGTGAGAGAGAGAAAGAAAGAGGTGAGAGAGGGAGGGAAAGAGGTGAGAGAGGGAGGGAAAGAAAAATTGAGAGAGAATTCTCAATGCAAGAAAGTTACTGGAACTGTGATAAGATTAAAGTCACTTTTTGTTCAAAGAATATTACATTTATATTCTACTGACACATTTCCATGTTGATTTATGAAAATACTACTGAGATACTGATGATCTTTCTTGTGCCTTCTCCTTTCAGAACAGAAGCTATCATGGCTCTCCACAACTTCCTGTTTTTTTTTGTTCTAACTTTTGACTATTTTTTTCCTTCTGTCATCCATTCACTCAAACTCATTAAATAAGTTACTTGCCATTTCCCATGCTTCTCTTGACTTCATTATATCATATGTGTGCTAAATTTTCCAAGCTCTCTTTCCTCATTTGGGGTTCCAAAAATTCCAATTTTCTCATTATGATTTTGAGTATCTTTTTTCTTCTGTATGACTTAAAACTTTGTTACTCACATATTCTATTCATCATATTCTCAGTATCCTTCTGTAGAACCACAACTTTGTCACTACAAATCTCCTCTTCATCTGATTATCTAACATTCACTTCCATATAAGAGATTAGATATTATAAATGCATTTCAGCACTCTTTTCTTTGTAAGTACATTTTCCTCTTCCTTAATAGTTTGATTAGTTTCTGGAAGGCTTCTTTCATTATTTCTATACATAGGAGATTTAACATTGAAGCAATCCATTATAAATGATATTCTATAACAATCTGAAATTAGGAGATGCTGCATAATCTGTCAACCTAAATATATCAAGCAAGAAATTTGCACTTTTCAAACTCTCTAAATTAAGCTAGCAGAAAAAAAAAGACCATGAAATAATTTCATTAACTATCAATGCATTTTATTCAAATAAAGATAGTTATTTCTAAAATGTTGTTTTTTCTGGATGTGGAGATAAAATATATTAAATGAAGCATTATATGTATATAGGCATGTCAATAAGTTCATAGTCTAATAATAAAAAAGCTTTTATATTTTATAAAGTGAATATTTTTTAACATAATATCCTTTCTTGTCAATTCATTCACATTGAACATTATACAGTGATAATTTCAGAACAAAATTCAGCTAATAACCATTATTATAAACAAAGACAAGACTTGTCAAAAGGAGTGGAACTGAAAGATTGAACAGCTGAAACTTGTCATGGAACTAAGAAATTAGGGAATATGAAGTTTGACATTTATGCCCATCATTACTGGTGCACTCAGAACAGTTCCAAAGAGACTCTCAAAAAAAAAAAAAAAAAAAAAAAAATTGCAGAAGAAATAAAATAAACAATCATTGAAACCATCCATAAAAATAGCATTACTAAATGATCAATAATATTGAAAAAAAGTGTTAACACATGGAAAAGACATACTGTCACTTGATCTCCAATGAAAGCCACCACTTGTATGAAAACTAGTGTTTCAAATATAAAGATTTGAATGTAAATTGGTTTCCTCTTATCTGTGGTTTTGCTTTCTACAGTTCCACTTATACATGGTTAATCACAGAAATAATTTTCTAAGTTTGACTTGATAATGGTCCCAAATTGCAAATGGTCATTAACAACCATAAAGATAATAAATCTATTATTTATAACTTAATAATGGTCACAAATTGCCAATGGTCAAATTTATAGTTTCAACTATACCTAATCAACCCCAGAAATAATTTGTAAGTTTGATTTAATAATAGTCATAAATTGCAAAAGTTGTGCTGTGTATGCACTTTGGATACATCAAAGAAGCTTTCAAATGATTCCTTTATATAAAAAGGTAAATATTCTCAGCTTAATAGAGAAAAAAATGTATACTGTAATTGCTATGGTCAAAACAAATCTATCCATTGTATAATTTTCATTGCAGTATATTATTAATACCAAAGTATCTATCTACATTACTATGTGTACTTCTCACTTGAAAAAGAGAAAAAAATTAAAGCTTTAAAAAACCAAATTCAAATAATAGAACTCAAAACAGAAAGCCTGTCCATGTCTTTTTGTCTCTCTTCCTTTCCAACTCTTCATTCTTCCTACCTTTCTTACTAAAACTTCTTTTTTCTCCTTCACATCTTCTTTCCTTTCTTCCTTCTTTCCTTTTCCAAATTCTGTTGTCATGTGGAAATGAACAGATAAGTAGATGATAAGTATTATTTGTGTGCAACACTTCACAGAATGCACACACATTACACTGATCCAAGACAGAAATGCCAGGAAGTGACATTTTGATCATAGGCATAGCATATAGATACTCTGATTCAAAGTGAAAGTGCCAATCCATATATAAATGAACCATCACTTTTGACATGTATTATAATGGTATTATAGTAATTCTTCTATTTTATTACAGATTATTCTTATTAATTTCTTATGCCAAATTGGTACACCAAGCCCCATAAGTCTGTAGGTATAGGAAAAAAAAACAGGGTATACAAGGTTCAGTACTATTCCTTGATTTAGGTATCAGCTGTAGATCTTGAAACAGATTTGTCACAAATAAGTCTGGTTTACTGTATACTGGAGCAAATATCTTCCTGTTAACTGAAATTCAAATCTGAAACTTAAAGTCAGACAAAATTCATCAGTAGCCTATATCTCTTCATAACTTTCTCTTGTACATATGTTCATGTATGCCTTGCAGATATTCTTAAATGTCTAACTTAACATATTTTTATCAAGTGTTCAACACCCAAAGTAAGCACTTTTAGTCTTTATACTACAGATGAATGTCAAATAATCTGAATTTGGTTGTTACAATCCATTTTAGTATTAATTTTTTTTTCATAATATATAAAGTAATTCACTATGTTTAGCATACTTAGATTAAAATTTGAAATGCAAAAAGGTGGAATAACAGTGGATAATAAGATAACCAATTTACATGGAAATATTATATACACAGAATTTATTTTACAAGGAAGATTTTTCTTTTATAACTACAACAGTAATGAGTAAATAATCTACTATATGAAAGGGTGCTGAATAATTTTCAGCCCAACCAAGAAGGGTTTCAAAAAAAAAATAAAATAAGTCAGATCATTGGGTCAAATTTTGCAAGTAAATCAGCTAAAAAACTTTGTAAAATATGTTTGGTGGTTTTTGTCTATAATGTCTAACTTTTTGCTGCATTAGAGTTATCTCACTTGCTTTGTCAAAGATAGATGGCATTGTCTTTGTTATGACAATGAGAGACTGTTCCAAGATGTTCATGAATCTTTGAGGTGAAAAGTCTGTGGAAGAACAGAATACAACAATAATAAAGAGAAAAGAGTTAAACAGCAATCATTTTTGACGATATGAATAAACAAGTAAACTCTATATTGACTACAGCAAAAACGTTCAAATAAACTATTTTTGAAATAAAACTTGTTATAAATTTATAGAGCAAACAAAAAGTAGATTTAAAACTTAATAGCAATTTTCTTAGAAAAAAACAATTCCCAAGACAGAATCCAAGAAGCTTGAATGAGTGTGGGTGTATAACTGGGTGGGGAAACAACACTACCAAAACAACATAATTGTCATCCTAAGTCCTGGTTTCATAAATATTCCTAAATAAACTGATCCCATTACAACCAATCCCAACACACAAATAAAATATTTAGAATTCCTTACCCCTTTTTTTTTTTTTATACACACACACACACACAGTTTTTTTGCAATAAGGATATAACCTCATAAATATCCAATCTCTATTCTGGGCAAAACAGAAATTTCAAAAATTGCTGCTGTATTTACACTGGGGAATTAATTGCAAATGAAAACAGTTTGAAATTAAACAATGAATATACTATAGTTACTCTCTCAACATAAACCTTTCCAAAACTATGATTTGGAATTAAAGCAATGATGGCATCTCCTCTGAATCAAAAGAAATTTAAGACATGAACATAGTAAATACTAAACACTTCAGATACATGGCGTATGGATCAGTTATAACAAATTAAGTAGAAGAGAAAAGGTAATGGAACATAGAATAGGCTGCACCAGAAGTAATTTTTCCCAACACTGCAGATTGCTACAAAACAAAAACATCAACCTGGAAATTCGGGTAATGTTTTTAAATAGCCTTGTTAGATCCAGACTTTTATATGGATATCATGTAAGGTACCAAACCCATTCAGAAATATGTAAACTGTCAGCTGTATACAACTACTTTCTAAGATCAAAGGTGAAAAAAGGCTTTGAGCAAATGAAGCCTGAGAGTCTTGGCAAGGATCATTCTTTTTGAACATTGTGAACTGGTGCTACAAATTCACAAAGAAATTGTACCAAATAACAGAAACCACATTGCTTGAGGACTACCAACAGCAGCAACAATTAAAATCAATAGCACATGCAACTTGAAGAGAAAATAATGACATAAAATTTTAACATTCCACACTACTGCAAATAAAATTTTAAGAAAACTCCATCAATACTGGAAAGAGTGATAACATTTATTGGTCTTGAGAAACCTGTTTATTTGAAAAAATGTTTGAAGAGAAAGATTTTATAAATTTCAACCAAAATCAGTACTGGCTAGTTGGTCAATGAATGTCAAATGTTGGAGAGAAACAACAAATATTACTATTATATATCATTACTATCACAAGAAAAAACAAATTGATAAAACCTATCAAAGATGACCAATCAGCACATTATTTTTTCTTTTTTAAGTTGGGAGGGGGAAATACATTGCAAATACATTATTAGAACTAACAGATAACATCATCACTAAGCAGAACCAACTAAAATTTAATTAATGTATATTTATATAGATTCTTCCGTTAAAAGATTAATAGGTTAATATTTATTAAAGAATATGCGGCAAATCTATATATACAAATTTAAAAAAAAAAAACAAACTTTCAGTTAGACCAATCTAACAAAATAAAATTCCCTTCAAACAGATCAATATAAAAAAAATCCTTTAGACCAATCTAAAAAAAAACAAAAATCCTTCAGACAGTCCAATCTAAAAATCCTGAAATGCTTTACTTTTAATTATCTCTAAAGGATCTCTAATACATTTACCAATCCTATAAGGATTCACAGGAA